AATAATAATATAATACTGTATATATTTAATACACTGATTTTTTTCATCCACATCTTTGCTCAGCTGCTAGGTTTTCAGTGCTCTCTACGGAATATCACTTTGAAACTGTAAAAGTCTTCAGTAATGTACATTCAACAACTTGCAGCTGTACATAAAATTGACATTGTATTTAGGCTGACTTAAAGCCTGTTCAAGTGGACTTTGAGGCTGAGTAACTTTTTTTTCCCCTTCTTATCCCAGATTAATTTATTGGCTGTGAAGAGCCACGGACACTTCGTGCCCTGATGGGGGACTCGGGATCCAGACGATCGACTCTAGTATCTCGGTTGCCAATATTCAGGAGAAGTGTTAGCCGGAGACACGACTCTCTTCCCTCCTCGCCTTCTTCTGCTAATGCCATTGGTGCCCACACATCCTCCCCATCCAGCACTAACTCCAGCTCAGGGAGCACAGGGAAGCGCCGGAGCATCTTCCGCACTCCTTCCATTAGCTTCCATAACAAGAAAGGGAGTGATCAGAAGCCTGACTCTGCTAGTCAAAATGTTAACGTCTCAAATGGTGCCCAGTCCTCTCTCAGCACTTTTGAAAAACTGAGCTTAGAGGAGCACATTAAAAGCAGAGGAAGGCATTCAGTTGGCTTTGGCAGCTCACGCAGTAAGAAGATAACAAGGTCTTTGACAGACGATTTTGAAAAGGGAAAGGAGCCCTCGGCTAATAAGAATGTCTTTATAAATTGCATAAGCTCTGGGAAGAATGAGGGTGATGATTCAGGCTTTGCAGAGGAGCAGAGCCGATACTCTGTCAAACATTCCACGCGGAAACTTCTCCCGAAATCTTTTTCATCGCACTACAAATTTTCTAAACCAGTACCAGAGAGTCAGTCAGTTTCCTCTGTGCAACAGTCCAGGTGTTTGCTAGAGATTAAATCGTATGTAGAAAGTGAACCTGTAATCACCAAGTCCTCTCCTCCATGTTCAGCCGAGACAACAGAGTGCATGGGAAGCTCCTTACAGTCCCCACTGCTCTCAGCTGACCTTACAGCTGCCCAGACCCCCTCTGACTTTGTTGCTCTGACAGAGGATTCTGTTTCGGAGGTTGATGCTCTGGCCAGCAGCGGGACCGGGGTGCTGCTTACAGAGGATTTTGGCCACAATGTCTCTACCTCTCAGATCTTTAATCCTGCTGCGGCTCCTGCAGGGGAAACGGATATTGTACAAAGTACTTGCCATTTTACTGGTGTATCTCCTGTGAGTCATGCAAGCTCATGTAGTGTTGACTCTAATACTTTATTCAAAACCTCAGATGCTAATCAAACAAGAGTATTGTTGCAAGCCAATGAACTACATATCAACGATGCCAGGCACATAGGAGAAATTAACTCTGCAAACACACATTTAGAAAACTTTGCATTACAGTGTAGAGAAGAACCAGTGATACCCTCTTCAAAGGCACTGGGGTTGAGTGGGGACAGAGATGAAAGCTCACCGTCCAAGCACACAGGCGAGACAATTCCTGTAATGGAGTCTCAGACTGTTCCATGTTCTGAACCTCAGTCCTTTAAACCACTACAGGGTTATGAAACAAACCATTCTAAAGGTATGTCCTGTGGTCTTTTCACTGTTGGGCTTGGTGTTCTTTGTTTTTGTCCTCAGTTCGTCTGTAAGAATTGTTTGGTCATAAAAGTGTTTTTGCAGAGTTGCAAGTGCTAGTTAGGAAGTTCAAAAGTTGTGAATTGTGTCCTCCCAAAATTGTAGGATTAAAGTCTACGATTTTTGAGTTCATGTTTTACAGTTTGCAAACACCTATCAGTGCTGTTTGTATCTATGCTTTCCCGTGGTAGAAAATGAATTAAGAAAGAGAATATTGATCCTTGCCTCTTGATGAAGGCTGAAGCTGGGATATTTTTGAGGCATGTCTGTTTTGGACTCGAGCCAAAGTGTTGCATTGTTTGAGATAAAACATCCCCAGAAAAATAATCCTTCTTTTAGTCCAGTTCTGATAACTAGTATAGTTTATCTTATATCGATCTGGGTTTTGAAATTTCCTGATTCTTGCTTGCTCTATCCAACTGATGATATGGAATAGCTCGGAGTGGGTATTTCTGTGACAGAGTATGAAAGATCCTATTTCTTCTTCCATCTGAAATAACATTGTGCAAGTTGTCATTACGAAATCGATGAAACAGAGTTAATTACCATCTAAATTTCACACTGGATCTTTAGTTTCTTCATAAACATTTGGAAATATTAACAAGATTAAGTGGAAAGGCTGTGCCTAGAAATCCCATTTTAGCGAGATGCAGATGAATAAAGGCACCAGGACCTTGAGTGAAGGACACCTGTCAGAAGACATTTATCTCTGACAGTTTGTTTTCTCAAGCTAGCCTAAAGACTGATGCTTCCTTGCATAACCCTGAGGTTTTATCTGGTGGGTCAAAATTTGTGAGACTTAACATGTCTGCATCTATAGTATTTGTATTAGAAGATGATTGAGAGTAAACTTATATGAATTCATACCCATCTTTTTGCTTGGACATTTATAATCTTCATGTCTTTACATAGGTATGTAGATTATAAGCAATCAAAAGGAATCTTGTTTTTTGAATCATTTGTCACTGCAAGGCTTGGTTGGATATCTTGTACATAAATAGCAATATAAAGTATAATTAATCCACTACATTAGCTTTCACCAGAAGGGACGTCTCTCCCTCAGACCTTAGTCAATTGGGAGAAAAAACATTTCCATTTATGTATGTTACTGGTCCTGAGTACTCGGTTGGTCTTCCTTGCAACATTGGCTCATCCTGTAAATGAGCTCATCCTTTAGAATCTGTTATTTGCGTGTACTGCAGAACAGCAAGTGAGCAGCTCAGAGTGATGTTTAGAAATACACAGTGCATTTGAAACTCATTCATCAGCAGTTGTATATTTAATCTGCATTTCTGGAAGGCAGCTAACTGGAGTTGAAACTGTGACAGAGGGATTTTTGTAAATGGGATTAATGTTCACAGAAACACTAGAGCCAACACTGCACTATATAAAAATCATGATTAATTGTTAGGGTTCTATAGGGCTGTTCAAAATGCAATTTCTTTTTCACTTGTGTGGTGAAGAATGTATTTAAAATTAGAAATTGTCCAAGCAAAGGAACCATTGGAAAAAGATATACAATACTGCCATATGAAATTATACAAATATAGAAAAAACTTACATGGCATTCAGTAACATATGGTTATAAATAGTTATATCTGTTACAAACAAACTGGTTTGAATATTTAGTCTTGCTAAAATAGTATTTAAAACCAGATGTGAATGCAAAATATTTCCATGCATTTTCTCTGGTAATAGATATTTTCTCTTCCATAGCTGGTCTCACAGCTGATATCATTATAAATAGCATCATGAATGTGACATTAATGTATAAGCAGGTTTAATGTGCCATATATTTCTTAGTATAGAAATAATTTATGTAATACCTTTTTGTATTTTTGTGACACAGATTTTTTAAAAAGCTTTACAGAAAATGTCAGTTCTCTTGCAAAAGACAAAAGAAAATAAGATGTTCTGTGTTGCATTTATTATGCTATTAGGCTTTTCGCTTTCCCCATCTCTAAATCTGCCCTAACACCTCAAAATGTAATTTTTCTCCTCTTTTCTAATGTGTTACTGTTTAACTGGAGTTATGCTATGACTTGACCCTAAAAACCTGAACTTGCCTTGGAACGTAGGGTAAGGCAGGTTGGGTTTTGGCACCAGTAAACCAGTGATTGTTTCTCTGGTGGGTTTTACTGAAGAGTGGTATGGAAGTATCCTAGAACAAGGGGAGAAAGGAAAGGATGGAGCAGAGAAGATCCTTCTGGATTCTGCGAGGAGCCGTGGACTGGGCTTCAGTGCACTGAGTGTGCTGGTCACTGGAGGATAAACAGCAAACTGGTGGCCCAGGTGATGCTTTTATCTAGGTAAATCAGGATCTGCTTTCTATAGAACATCTCTTACACAATTGCATTTCAATGTAAACATTTCAAGGAAATCAGTGTTCTCATTAAGAAAATAGCTGTAGAGAGTACCTCCCTCTAATAATTGCTGGTTGCTTCTCTGTTTGTAGTTGATCTTGCCAATAGCTTCAGTCCATACCGAGAAGGCAGATTTGTTGAGAAGCGACTGAGATCCTCTTCAGAAGGTACTGCTGGAGGCAGTCGGCTGATCATAAAACCGAAGGCTGGAAATACAGAAGAGCTTAACAGCCTACGGAAGCAGAGAGCAAGCTCATCCTCTTCAAAAATGAACAGCATGGTAAGTTTTATTCCCATATGTGTACGTTTTTGTTTTTCTATGGTGGGAGTAACTGTGATGAGAAGCAGCAACTTTAAAAGCAGTGGATGGTAATAAAGGTGCATATGTGGGGCATGACATACACTGTCTCAGGCTCCCAAAATGTGATCCAGGCTCAACTATAGATATTGAAAGCATTTCTTCCTAGGGTGTGACATTGTGAAAGGTTTGCATACTTTGTGAAGAGATTCTTTTCTTATTTATTTGTCATACTTTGCTTATTTGCCTGACAGAAAAATAGTGGGAGAGGGAACTGCAGCAAAATTCAGTATCACTATTTTTGAGGATAAATACAGTGGGCTACTCTCTAGAAACATTATGTTACCATGTTAGTTATTTCATGGACTTGTGTGGTATGAGTGAGATGAGAAGTTGGATAGAGAGGAAATTGTCTGTAAGGAGGCTCACTTGAAAGGTTGGAGTGGTCCCTTTTGAATCTGGTGACAAGTTTGAATGCTTTCACTCTGGACAGAAGGTAAGGAGGAGAGGAAAGGATCTTCTCTAAGAACCGTTGAGGGTCCTAAGGACTGGCAAAGCTAAGAGAGATCAGATAACTGCAGAAGATGACTTTTGAAACCCCTTCTAGTGAAACACTAATAAAATTGTTGACTGACAAGTTTGTGCTTTCCTATAGTCAGTGAGAGCAAACATTTTAACATCAATGTAATTTATACTTACACGTGTGCTCTCCAATGAGAGAGATAGAAAGGGTTCTAAGATTGGACATCTACAGCAATGGCATCCACTCTTTAGCTTATGGGAATCACTAAAACAAGCTTTATGGCCAGTATTAGTTTGAAATATTTTATTCAACATGCTAGCTGGAAAAATGAGGATTCATTTTGTATTCTTACCTGAAAATGACTTTCCACAGAAAGCAAAAAGCTCTTATCCTTACCTAGAGTTGCTGAACAGATGTGTAAATAAAGGGGCTTTTCCTTTTCCAGGTGTACTTAATAGACATTATGTCACAATGATGCAGGACCAAACACATCCCTCAGAGACTCTGAAGTGAACACAACTGCCTTTTTGAGGAGGGGATTTTTGCAGTTTTTCAGGGATGTGAAACTGATTGGTGCAAGCTAATGTTAGATTTCCAGTTATATACTCTTCAAGTGTAGTTTTACAGGCTAATACTAAAACTCAACAACTCATACCATAACTTAGACAACTTTTATGACTGTGTGTTACTTTGTCTGTAATTAAATGTAACATCATCTCTCACCCAAGAAGCTAATGAAGGCTTAAATTCTCTTCCTCTGTGAGATTTGCCAATACTATTTCCTGGTTGGTCATTTAAAATTGTTCCCCAGAGAAAGATGTGATTTAGTGTGAAATGCCCACATGGAAACTGTGGCAAGAAATTGGAGTTTGAGGGTTTCTCAAGAGGATGTGAAATTTATCTTTGGTCTGGGCAGATCTTGCCCCTGTGTCTGAGTGTATTACCTAAATGTTCCTTTGTGCCTGGGCTCACAAATGCTGCTGTGGATGGCAGGAGAAAATCACATCAGTACCAAGCAAATTCTTACTATGTATGGCCAATGCACAACAGAATTTCCAGTGTACCAGTGTCCTGCAGCAATGGTCACTAAAAACACTCAAAAGAAATGGAATTACTTAATGACTTTTACAGAAACGTTTGCCTGTACACCCACTTTGTGTAACTTGGGCAGATTGGATTCAATAACAGGAGGATTCTCTTCTTACGAGTATCAGGTTGTGCAGATTTATCAGTATTCACTGATTAATGTTATACTACCTGAAAGAGCAGGAGGCAAATTAATTTTAGGAAGGATAAGATTTTACACATCTACCTGTTTTGTTTCTAGATTGTTGACAATTGTCAGATGAAATAGTACAGTAAGGTAAAATTTATTTCAACAAAACCCCTTGAATTTTTAAAAACTTTTATTTTATCCACTGGATTATTATACCCAGAGATACAGCATAGAAATCAAGAGGTAGGATTTTAATTTAAATAGTAAAAAAAAAAATAATTTTGTGCTATTAAGGTATACATTTATAGCGTATTTCTCTGTTTTTGCAGGAAGTTCACATTGAAGTATAAGTGAATAACATTTTTAAAAGCCAGAAAGAATATGATGACATTTAAAGATGCTGTTTCATGTAGGCATACAGAGCAATACAGAGCATTATGCAGATGTAGTTTCTGTCCTAAAAAGCTGGTTAACCCTGGCTCAAGCCTGTAAAACTTACTTGGTTTTTTAGACCCAAGCTATTATGCAGATCTCTGCATTCATTTAAATACTAGGCTAGGATAATGGCATAGCACTTCATTCTGTTTAACCCTGTATTAATGATGGGACTAGGAAGGTGACAACACAAGTAACAACAGGAAGTAAGCAAAATGGGGGGGGGGAAAAAACATGTGTAAAAAAAGGGGGGGGGGGGGCAGGTGGTGATTTGAGTCTCTGATTCTTCACATTTTGTGTATGAAATCCATGTGATTTTTCTTTTTCCATTTTCTCCCCTCTTCCTTCCCCATTAGTGAGCTTGTTCATAAATGGACAAGTTTCTGTTGCAAAATGTTTGTACTGTTTGTTTTTGTAAGAAAAATGCTACATGAAAGTGTTTGTTTCTTTAGTAGAAAGTGAGGTATAAGAAATAGTAAACAAAACAAAACCAACACTATCCACTCTCCAACAACCAAAAAGTAAAAGAGTAAGTTGAGTTCCCTGGAAGGAAAAGGAATTAAAATTGAAGAAATGGAGTATTTTTAACACTACATATCTGATCAGGAGAAAGGCTCTTTCAAAATACTTGACACAATCAATTAATCTTTAACGCTACAGTAGCAGATTGTTGCAAATGAATGATTCTAATGACAAGTAAATACTAGATAAAGATTTAGAGTTACTAAAAATATCGTTATTAAAAATCTTAACCTAACTATTGTGTCTCTAGAAAAAAACATTAAATAAAGATTTAGAGTTACTAAAAATATCGTTACTAAAAATCTTAACGTAACTATTGTGTCTCTAGAAAAAAACATTAGTCACTCTCTATGGCTATCTGTATTCACTTTGTTCAATTTTGGAAGAAAATGAGGCAAAGGCATTTAAGGGATCGCAACTTCATAGGGGATTGCTGAGGCTTCCCTGCCAAGGGACAGTATTGCCGTTCAGTTCTGCTCTGCAGCACTGAGTGAGTGGCAGCAGCTATGGATGCTGGTTTTCTGCCATCATCCAGATGTTATGTTAGGCTGAAGAAGCTTTGTAACATGGAAGATGCCCTTTCCTCACAAACTGAAGAAAGTCCTCCAAGACTCTGCTTTCTTTCTCCTGTTGGCAGGCAGTGTGGACTCCTTCTGCTGAGGGGCTAGTGGGAGTAAGGAGCCAGAACTGAGGGGATGCTGGATTTTCACAGGAGATGAGAAGCAGGAAAAAAGATGAGCACTGAGAAACCGTTCTTCCTCCTAAAAAACTTGCTCAGCAGAGTGTTTTTGGCATGATTGGCAGTGCTTTTTGAAGGTGATAGGTAAAAACTTAGATAGGTGGATCTTCTTAACACTGAGAATGTGTATCAAACCCACAAAGTCACCACCTCCTGCATGAGTGACATTAACTCACTTGTGAGATGCTGAAAGTAATTTACAATCTGGACGAGAGCAATGCTACTCGTAAATGAGATAAAGGGAAAGAAAAAAGTCTTGCAGAATAACTCTGAAGTTGTGCCAGTTTTGTATTAAAGTAAAGAATGAACTGAAAGAGATGGTCGAGATCAACCACTTAGATTATTAATTATGTGTTTTTCACTAGAATAGTTTCAAATCCTTCATTCTTGCAGTGACTGATTTCAGCCACAAGATGACACCATTTCTTTAAAAATGGTTTTAGACTTTAGTATTACAATTACACAAAAGGTGAGAACTGCAATTCAGAACACGTTTTTGGAGCAGTTTAATGTTGATTAGCCTCTGCAGTATAATAGACCCTTTTCAAATGAACATGGTTGATACAGATGCAATATAAAGAGATTCATAGAAAATATATATATATACATATATATATAAAAAACTCTGGTAATTCAAATGTTCCAACTATGAAGTCATCAGTTACAGCTTTAAATATTTAGACATAACATATAGATTAGTTAACTAATCTCATAAGATTGATAGAGGTTATGATCTCTCTGTTCTCCATCTAGGTGGTGGTTCTTTTCCAATGTGCAGGCGAGGCAAAAAGAAAGAAATTAAAAAAGCAAACCAGCATGGTAAAAGACTAGGATGGCCTGAAATATGCAGCTTTGCAAGACCAATGAAAAGCAAATGCATCTGTGTAGTTGAAATTTAGGAAAAAATTATAATAACCGTATTGAAAAAAATAGGACCAGACTCCCAAATCACTGTAAGTAACTTCTTTAAGGGATTGGGAGACAGGACAGCAGGAAAATAGAGTTAATGAGCTGCAGTACTTAGAATTAACAGTAGAAATTGAGGTGAGAGCAACAAAATTATCTATCACTTCTCATAGCAGTGGCTAATATGGAAAGACAACAATCCTAAGTATGACCTTTACCAGCACTAAAGAGGAAATATTTAAAAAAAAAAAAAAAAAAAGCTTTTTTTTTTCCTTACGTTGCTGATAGAAGTTTTGAAATGCTAGCAAATTAGCTTTAAAACCAGATAGTCATGAAGGATGGTATGATTGAAAGTACCTGTATGTTACCACAAGTTAAAAAAACAGCTTCAGAGGATTGTTGGGGCTCCTAGACCATGCTGCCCAACTTCAAGACATGAGCTGCACTGTGCTGTTGAGAAATAGGATGGCATGTATGCAGTAGAACGAGAATGCCCACTTACATTTGGCTTTCAAAGACCGGCCTTTCTGCCTCTCCGATTGTTTAAAAAAAACCCCAAACTCCAAAACTATCTTGTCTTACCCACACCTGGCTATCAGCAAATGTGCTACATTACTAAAAGAAACCTAATTTTTCAGCTT